GTGGAATTGTGCACAACGAAGTTGTACCTCCAGGACAGACAGTTAATCAGGCCTACTACAAAGGTGTCTTGGAACAATTTTGAAAATGGTCCAGCGAGTCCGAAGGGACTTGGCTGATGGCTGGGTGCTGAGTCACGATAATGCGCTTGCTCACACAGCCTTCCACTTCGAGAGCTTTTGGCGAAGCAAAAATTCCCACAACTTTCCTTAAGCGCTGATCTAGTTGCATGCCATTTCTAACTTTTCCCTAAGTTGAAAGCTCATCATCATGGAATCTTGGGAAACATCAGCAAATAGCAACGAATCAGGTTAGCACTTACCGAAAATGACTTTCAATATTGCTGTGATCGGTGGAAACCACGTTGGAACCAATGTGTAAGTTTCCAACGGTTATACTTTGAAGAAGGTTACGTGTAATTTCGGGTGAGTCTTATATACATTTAAATAAAAAATCAGTACGCCTAATTTTGGGGCACATGGATATATATATATATATATATATATATATATATATATATATATATATATATATATATAGGAATAGACATGGTGACACCAAATACATGGCTATTCGAGGAAGGTACAGTTGTCGTAGAAAAGAAAACCGAACACAACACGAAAGTCTATGGTCTCGTTAAAGTGTACGATACTACACGGTTGTCCAAACCGAGATTGAGTGCTGACTTAGGGGACTACAACCCTAGCCTTAGGCTGAATATCCTACCCGCAAGGCGACGAAGCGAATTCAGGAAATCGCGCCCATTGAGAGCCAGTGACTGATGTCTCAGCTGGTATGCCTTTCGTTTGGTCGGTTACTAAACAGGGACCCAATCATTTCCACGACTTCAGCAACACTATGCTGCATTCAATTCTCCACCAGGATGCAGAAAGCAGCAGTGACTTTATTTTGTGGCGAGTCACATCCGCTATGTCGCGTTGTTGTTAAACGTACATATGTGGTTTTTCATAAGGTGATCACTCGCCAGGCGAAAATCCTCCACTTCCTGGAACACTGCCGTCCAACCATTTGCTGGAACTAAATAAACCCCAACCACCCAGCTGGCAGCACGTGGGGGTTGTTCGGCAAACTAGCCATATCCATCAAAAACCGTTGAAAAAAGCACTACGCATTGCCTGCATTGGTCCCTTCCCGGCTCGCTAGCACCGAATATTTCACTGTGGTGCACCAATTGTCAACATTCTGACATGTGCTCCAGGCTTAAAGGTCGAGTTTCCTGTCATCGTTTGCATTGTAAACGTCAAAACCGCTTAGGATAGTTGGACGACGCATAATACATTGATCTGCGATCTCCGAGAAGAATCCAACGACCGACAAGGAACTGAAACTGTCACGACCAGCAGCCAATCTAGAAGCCACAGTCATTGTTGAACTACGGTGCTATTTTGTAAACAATTGAATATCATAATCACAACCTATTCCGGCAACATCCTCAACAAAATGGATACACGCAGTCGCCCATTACAATAATAACGCAACGATACGGCTGTGCATAAGCAGCACAGTTAATCGGCGCTGAATTCTGCGTAGGTAGCTAGACATGACCATGCGAACCAACCATTCAGAGGACCGACAGTTATGAGTCCAATTACACAAGCCTGAGGACAGTCATGGTAGATTCCCTGTTTTGCCGTAATGCAAGCCACATGGATAGTACGTGAAACACACAAAAACCCAGGCATGGTCTGTCCTAACTCGAAAGACAAAGCCGTGGGGAAGTGGTACATGCCGAATCAGACGTCAGGACAGCTGAGGAGCAAGGGTGTCAAAGTTGGATCACCGGTCAAAAAGCGTCTTAAAATCGACACAGGAATTGGACACCAAGCGAGACTGCAATATGTGACAATAAACAAACACGTGGAGGCCATCAATAGGGCATGAATCAAAAATGAGGTTTGTGTGACTGGTGGAGTGGCTCTAACTAGAGGTTCGGGCCATTAATCATCAGGCAAATAGGGACAGAAACACAGTATGGATGTACACGTGACGTGTTCCATCAGTGTCTAAGAGTTCAACAGGGGGGCTAGGGGGATTGGAGCAGTAATTTTACACCAAATGAAGAGTGTTCTTGAATAGATGTGCGTTACATGCTACACCTTTCGCGCGGTTTCGGGTTCCCTTCGTCCTTCGGTTTCGAGTGAGCTATTTTGGAAGCTATTGCTGCAGGCAATAGACGGCTTAAGTGGTTTAATGCGTGACCAAAACGAGGCTCATCGAGAAATCTCAGTCAAATATCTAAAAGATGAGTGCATTTTATGTGGCTGGCTACTAAGTGCATCTACTTAGACCTCTACAACTCATCTGCTTTGTCAACTAGCTCGAATGCTATCTTTCCCTGCTCTACTGAAACGCCTTCAGAGCAACGAACGGAGAAAGCGGGTTCTCCTATTCCTGACAGCAGTACTCTCATCAAATCGGATCCCTCATTCATAAAGATTAAAGGAAAGTTTAAGTGCTTGAGACAGTGTAGCAATAACAATCCGGTTTCAATGATCAAGGCACATCCAAGGACAGACAACCGGATATAATCCATAGTTCACTCCAGAGACCAGTGCCTTCAGAAGGTGTATGGCTGCAAAATACTCGGTTGCACCCAATATTCGCTATCGACCAGTCTCTTACAATCACCAAGAAAAACAACCTTCTCTGTTGAATGCGACCAATAACAACTATCTCTTGGCTATGACTAGTTATCATCCCACATCCCACAACAAACACTGGAGGCGTACAGATAACGGTTGGACGTCGGCCAATAGGACGATGTTACCCCTACTCCCGTCAAGTTTATTCAACCTCTCCCACGGCCTCTTCCAACAATCACATTTTAACAGTGGCTGGCATCGATTCGCACCCATTTTCACCTCTGATACATCCGGCGTAGGTCACAGTTTCATCCCTCTTCCGACAATTTTTCCAGACGAAAAGGCTAGTCTGGTGCAATCTAAGCATGATATCTCCCTTCTTGTCCCCAGCTGTTTCGATATTCACACGTGGCACATATCCCCACTCTAATAGCTAACTCGGGCGCACCACTCTCACACTTATCTATCATGTGCACCATACTCGAACCCAAACACTCAAGCGCTCAGGCAACAGATAGCGACAGTTCCCGAACACTGTATATCTTGATCCCAAATCCATAATCAGCAAACTCTCTTTTTTAAACACGCACAGTCCAGTTACCCAAATGCTATCCTCGTCACTGAAACATGTTGTTCATCTAATACACTTGACTCTACTCTACTGATCCCAAACTACCACCTGTTTCGAAAAGCTCGCTGCATCAGAAATGGTGAGGGCTGTATCGTATACGCCCACCAATCATTTACAATTTAGCATGAAGCAACAACATGTTAACAGAATGTACTGAATTCAACAATTTCGCTTATTCTCTTCCGTTGTTTACACAAATACAGTGAAATAAAGAGGCCACATAGCAAAGTGCGATGTTACCGGCGAAAATTCAAAGTTATCGAAGGCCATTAGGCTCACGTGACCTGTTGCGAAGGAAATGTACTCACAAGCCTCACCAGGGGAGAGCGAGAGTGGTCACGAAATCCGTTTGTTTTTACAAAGTGGGTTTCAACCGCCGAATAGCCGACGCCTCTGCATACTGAAGTAGATGAGGAATAGCTTGTTTGATAACTACCCTGAAATTGTCACCTGGGTTTCGACATTCAATGTAGTCAAGTATGTGGCGGGCAATAGAGCTCGTTGCTAGCTTCGGACAATTGGCGATCATGTTCTGCTGGACATGCTCTGCAATGCTCGCTGACAGCCTCTCAGTTCGGCCTATGTCCTTGCTAACACAAGTACAGTTAAAGAGGTAGATGCATGAGACAGTAACTTGATAGTCCGGTCTGTTTAGGTTGGATTTACAGAGCAACCTGCTGATTTGATGTAATACATGTTGGAAAAGCTACATTCAGATTGTCCCAACAATTCTTGCAGACCCGAGCCGTTTCGTTCGTGATTTGGCAAACCGCGACAAAACCGAGCGGATAGAAATGTTAATAGTCCATGAACTGAAGAAGCTAGTGAAAGACAGATTTATGGATGCAAAAACCATGACTCAGTTTCGTCGACTGCTATGTTCTTTATGTGATTGTACAGGTGTGGTGAGGAATCACCGAAAGCACTTGTTCTCGTCTGACCATATGTTCTTGACAGCTGTATCAATCAGTACTATAATTAATTTAAACGAAGTATGGTTTCCTCCAATTTGAATAGTTTAAAATAAAAGTCACTTTGTTTTTTTCCATTATCATAAACGTAACTGAACAGATCGGTTTAAAACTGGTTAATTGACGATTGGACAGGCACTCAAACTCCTGATTGCGACCTGTGCAATGAGTGGGCACATGTTCCACAGGGTAGGCGAGATGCGTGCTTGTGGATGTAGATGGGCGAGGGAAGGGTTCACAGAAAAACGGTCAAGTCGTTAGACGCTGATCTGTGGAAACACACTGTACGAGGTAAACGCGCATGCGCGTAGACACTGTGGAGCAATGCAAAAATGCACACATTCATACAAACTGAGAACGTGCTGTATTGTAAAACCTCTGCGGAGCTCTAAAGTGCGGCGATTGTGGCTTAGGTGAGTTTCACACATTACAAAATCTCGCTACATATACATTATTGCTTGAACAAAGGAATCATTTAGCAACCTTCACATGGTCACAAATAGGTCGAATTAATAGTGACTGTTATGGCCCATGTGGTCAGTATACAACTTACTGAAGTGGCCAACATACAGAGGTCTGGTTCCATAGAATTCCTACGGTGAACAGTCAAGCTATGTGAAAACGTGGTCATCTCTGGAAGTTTCATTGCACTTCTTTCTGCTTTCTTTGTCATCTTTTTTACTATTACTCATATTTGATACCCGGTACCCCGTTTTGAGGCTTCATCCGATTTGATTCTAAAGTCCACATTTCCCGGCTATTCTGATTATCCGATTATTTTCCGCACCATACTTCAGATCCTTTTGGAATGCGGCCTCCCCCCAGTCGTATAGTCGCGCTCCCCATTCTACGGCAGTTGTATGAAGCTCGCTTCGATCTGTCCCTTTGGTCTCATGATGAACGCAAGCGTCATTGGGTGCAAATAAACGAGAGCATGTGGGATTTGCACCTTCCTTATGGGAGGCATCGAGATGATTCTTGGCCCACTTCAGCCACTAATTTGTTCGGTCCAAACTCACAGGCTGGTCTACTGTATCATCACATCTGGCGCCACATCACTCTGTATGACACGTTGGCTTCACTGCAGGAGCAAGGATGGCCTGCAAACAATCAATCCATTGCGGTTAGTTACGCGCCAGTGTGAATTTGTATTTATTCGATAACTTAGCCTACCCGTTCTATCCTAATCCATATGACTTTGGCACCATCTCCAACTAGCTGCCCATTATGCTAAATGCTTGTTTGTTATTGTACCAGCTAGGTTTATGCGTAGAATGGTAACATTGGTCAGTTGGATGGCAATTTACCCCTTTGCTCATGGTTCTTTGTTTTTCTCGATCTAATAATTCTCAAATTCAAAGTCTCCCATCACCTTGCGAATGAATAACGATTACACCTGTCTACCTTGGGATTCCACTAATTGATTAATTCTTCACGGCTAGGCTAGCTTTACTCGGCCTGTGTCCCAATCGCATCGGATGTGGCAGCTGTCCGTCCCCGTTAGTTACCCTTTTGCTAGGTTTGTATGATAATTGCATGCCCTTCACCTGAATCCAATGAAAGAGTGTTGCTTATCTCCGAACCTCTTATCTTCACACCGACCCTCGGTGTCTTTTCTGACACAACGGGGAATGCTTCACTTTTCATGCTGCATATGTAAATAGCACAGTTGCAAACAGCAGTCATTATTGTTCCCTCCACTGGGGAGCGGAACGAAGAATCAATCTAGTTCATTACTTCTAAACTGTGTCCCATGTCATTGTAGCCGGTCACTCACCAAACAAGTCACTGGGTGCTGTTATTGGATGGCGTCGCCACAGCCGAGTCGCTCCATAGGCGACTGACTTTGTTTCGTGAGGCCCGAGCTGTGTGAGATGAGTTGGGAATGGTTGTTCAACTAGAACCGTCATTTCCTCAAGCGAAGTGTTTACACCTTTACCTCACCGGAACCGGTGTCCACAATCAACAGCAAGTCAAAATACTGGGAAACCGGCGTCGGTTATCGTCAGTGGAAAACCTAGCTGGTTAAAACCCTTCGCGGTGGGGCAAGCCTACCTGTGAATCTACCGGATTAACTGGTACTGCTTCGACAAATGCATCACAATAGAACGATCTTACTTATCTCTGTCTAGCTTCCTCGACTGGAAGGTTCTAGATTAAAAGCATTCCTTCTCTACGAAAACCTGTGTAATACAATGTTCTGTGGTATTGCTTTAACCTGTAATGAAGGCTGCTCTTCGCATCCCTGTAGGAGGAATCTGTTTCTCTATTCTTTGCTCCTCTAAAGTTCCCCTAGACCTTACTGCATCCGATCTATTATGCTTACGTACTTTACTTACTGAAGGATTCTCATATGGTGACACTAAAAGTTGCTCCTTGATCCACGAACAGCTTGACTCTCTGGCGCCTTGGTGCTCTGTATATTTGTTTTATCAAACAAAGTTCATCTTACTATATTTCACACACCGCATGGTGCATCCGTGACACGGATTGGATAACTTTCAACATTCTTTTGGCACATCTGGCGCTACTCTGATTCCATTCGATATTTTACTGTTACAAAAGTCGCCTCAGTCCCATTTTCCCCTTGCACCTCTCACTTGTTTATTTTGTTTCCTTAATCTCTTCTTTCTAGGTTCTTGAAGTGTTAAAGCGCTTTCGTGACACTTTTTTGGCTGCACCGGATCGTCTGCCTCCGCTTGAACTGTTTCGTCGATTTCGTGGGCGACCACCATCTCATGAGTTTATGCTCGATGCGCTCAGATTGCAATCTAAGCCGGTGGAGTCGCCTATATTGATGGATCCAGTTGTACCGCTGTTAGCTCACGAATAAGAACATGCGTTTTGCGCCATCCTCTCTGTAACCCTCTACATCACCCGTATTCAATCTCTTCCTGTGTTGCAGACCCATTTTTATTTGCTTAGCGAAAATGGGACCTGACAGCAGAGTTAAACGTTTGTTCCCTCATCCAAAGCGCAGGTTCCAGCAACCCTCCACCCGAACCACCTGTAAATACACTTTTTCTTGGTTTTACTTCTTATCCCGCCAGCTTCGTATACTCTGCTTCTAGAATTCACACACACTGGTCTCTAGTCTTCATCCGATATGGTCCATGGCCATGGATCACTGAAACGCTACTCTCTGTCTGCCAGCTTCGAAATGCGCATGACAGCAATGACTGGCTATTTCAGTCCGGTCAATATCGGCCGGTGACCGAAAGGATTGTACGCTTGCCTTGTAAAATCCATAAGTCACCGGTTTGGCTTCGGTTAGAGGCGGGTGGCCTCGCGGCATCTCCAGCCATCGCGTGGCCGCAAAGCGTCGGTACGCGGTGCGACGTACTGCTGATGCTTTTTTCTCTTTTCACTTTGGCCGACGCCTCCGTATGATAATCCGATCAAGTGTTCACAGTATATATATATATATATATTTATTTATTTTTTATATATTTATATACGTGGCGGCATCCGGTTTCGGATTTGCCTCACGGTGGTCAGCACAGGACGGCTGCGCCTACATAGGGACCATGGATGGCTTGCGCTGCACCACACACAGCTCCATTCACACACCCCGTATCCAGTGTAAACCCGAAGGAATAAGACCGGGAGGCATGCGGATGGGAACCACGTTCCATCAACGGAGCCGGCCCACACTCCTTCACAGGCAAACACAAGCACGCTGTATTTGGGGAATCAACCGCACACAAGGCGGTGGCTGGACCGTAGACCGCTCCACACTGAGTGCATGGAACCGCTCTTTGAGCCTAGCACGGCCACAAGAACCGTGCACCCCGTCCCCTCCAGCAACGACCAACTGTCTCCTGGAGCCAGTACGAACGATGTAGTGGGTAATAGACAGGTAGGCACTTTGTCAACATACACATCAAGCGCAGTCACACCTGGGGTGTCAAATAACAGCCACGCATTTCAAATGACATTATCAAATGAAATAAATCTGTTAAAAATACGGCTGTGCAGACATAACTGTACTCTAAATTAGTATATGAAGTGAGTTGGTTAGCAACGAATCCGCGATAAGTACAAAATGTCCAGAAGTGACGCAGAAAATGCTACAAACGCAATAACGTTAACGAAGATAACCACAATTAGCGTAAGCAGCGTGGCCAGTTAATAGAAGAATAATTAGGTAGGCAAAACAAGCCAAATAAAGTGGAATGAAATTTATACAGCTTAAAAAGACCCAGTTTAAGTGGAAGATCATTTAGCACAACTGCGGTTAAGAAGCATCATGAATGCAACATTAGTCTCAGCATAGGGCACATCTCATGCATGTATGGTTGTACTTGTCGCGGATTCATTGCCAACTAACTTACTTCCTATGCTAATTTAAGGTAGAGTTATGACTGCCTAGCGGTATTCTTTAACACATATATTTTTATGATAATGTTATTTCAAGTGATTGGCTTCTTTTGATATCACCGCTGTGACTGCGCTTGATGTGCAAGTTGACAAGATACCTCCCCGTCCATTACTCACTACCTCACCATACTGGCTCCAGGAGACGGTTGTTCGTTGCTGGATTTGACGGGGTGTACAGTCCTCGTGGCCGTGCTAGGCTCTAAGAGTGGTTCCTTCCATTGTGGAGCGGACTACCGTCCAGCCACCGTCTTGTGTGTGCTTGATTCCCCAAATACAGTGTGTTTGTCTGTGAAGGAGTTTTGGTCGGCTCCGTTGATGAAACGTGGCTCCCATTCACATCCTTCCCGGTCTTATTCCTTCAGGTTTACACTGGATATGGGGTGTGTGGGTGGTGCAGCGCAAGCCATCCATGGTCCCTCCGTAAGCGCAGGCATCCTGTGCCTGAGCAAAATGATAGGCAAATCCGAAACCGGATACCGCCTGCCATGATATATATATTGATTGATTGATTTATTTATTTATCCTTTAGCCAATTACATTTGGCTGCGTGCCACAGCACATAAGAAGGAATATAGATTGAAAGGGAAAATGGCTTTTAGAGTAGAAGAATCTCAGCGCTAGTGCGCCATTGCGTACGGTCCTTGACCATATCCTCTAGCGTTTGCAACCAGATGTGCTCGGGCTCTGTTGGTCCCTGGTAGTCGGGAACGCCCAACATTAGCCAGCTTCAACGTTTGCGCCTTAACACATTGGATCTATGGTTTACGCTGGCCTCCTTGTCGGCGCCTCCACTCTAAGCCTGCGCTCACAAGTAGGACACGTCGTGATAGCCGCTGGGTGTGCATGCGGAGCACATACCCAAGCCAGCGAAACCTCCCCGGTGAACTGATGCTATCAATCGATCGGCAGAGTTCGTTAGATTTGTAGACCCGCTGACGGACCCGCTCATTAGTGATGTGATGCTGCCACCGAACACCAGCAATGCTTCGCAGGCAGCGGTGATCAAAGACAGATAGCCGCTGAACGTCACTTTTGCGAACGGGCCGAGTCTCATATCGGTAGATAAGAATCGCTCGTCCGGTAACATTGTAGACTGCTCCCTTTAGAGCGAGGCTGTGGTCACAACGAAGCCACAGGTGACGAAGGTTAGCGAAAGCGACTCTAGCCTTGGAGACATGCAGAGAGATCTCATCCGTCAAACTGCCAATACTAAGACAAGTCCCACGGTAAATGAATTTATCGATCTCTTTCAGCGGATGCCCTGAAAATGTTTGAGAAGGAGATGCATTTGACCAGTCCTACAACATGCTCTTACATTGAGAAGGGGTGAAGGTCAACACAACTTGGGAGACAGACATCTCCAGCAGCATATGCTGGGCGACTTGGGAGAACTTGCAAATCACAGCGATGTCATCGGCTTACTCTAAGTCCTGAAGGCGGTCACCAGGGAGCAGTTCAACGCCGTATGACTCAGAGTTTTCCACGGCAGTATTCAGGATCTCGTCCATGGCGAAGTTGAACAATGGAGAGGCTGAGCAATTCTGTCTAACACCGCTAGTGATACTGAAAGGGGGCGAAATGTCTCCGTATACTCGCACGCAGCCCGTAGTTTGATGGTAAATGGCACGGAGAATGCTGATGTACTTCTCAGGTACTCCCCTCTTCAGTAAGCAGTCCCAAAGTGCCACTCTGTCAACAGAGTCAAAAGCGGCTCGAATATCCGAGAAGATAACCATAGTTGGTTGACTGAACGTATGGCGATGTTCAATTATTTGGCGGATTGTATAGATGTGATTGACGCAATTGCGACCCGAGTGTAATTAAGCTTGTTTACGCAGATGCTGTTCCCGTACGCAACTGAGCCTCCGCAAGAGTGGAACAGCGAGCAGTTTGGATGCGACACTATTGAGACTGATGCCACGATGGTTGGAGTGAATGGTCCGATCTCCTTTTTTGTAGACAGGCACAACATTCGCTAATTTCCAGTTGGATGTGTTGGTTTCAGTAGTCCAAATCTGATGGAAGAGAGATGTCAGTTCACAAGTGCGAGCAGGACCTCAGTATTTGAAGAGGGCAGGAGGAAGTTCATCCAGCCCATGTGACTTGTGGTGCTTCAGTAGGCGAAGCTCATGGGATACCTCAGCCTCAGTCGGTGGAAAAACCTCCACGCACCAGGGAGTACTGTGAAGCCCGGAAGATGGACTCGGTTGTGATACTGACCAGTTCAACTGATCTTCAAAGTGCTCTGCCATGGTACCAGACGACGGTGACGACTGTGAATTAGTCCGCCGTCATGCAAAATCTCACACACTGTTGGCCTTCTGCCTCTCCTGGAACGCACTAGTTGACAGAGTTTGCGGGAGTTTCCAGATGAGGTTGCCCGCTCTATCACAGCAGCGCGTTGTGTCCACTAAGGTTCGCGATTCTTCCTGCGAGCTTTCTGAGCTCAGCACCTATGGTTCTGCGTAGTGCGTTGTACTCAACTCCGGCGGAATTGTTCGACAACTTTCCACTAATTGGGGAGACTGTACAGAGATCCATTGATTGGCACCTGGTCTAATGAAGCCGCAGACCAGGTTAGCGGACTTTCGTAAGGCGCTCTGAATCCGTGTCCAGCGTGTCTCAACATCGGAGATAGAGAACGTGGGTTGGAGACTGTGTTCTGAAATGCGGCGAGTTTGTCTGTTTTAAGCCGTTTCCGGCGATTCTGTCGGGTGCCTCCAAAGCGCAGAACGAACTCAGCACACACGAGCACATGATCCGAAGTCAGGTAAGTGTTCCATATTGACTTGCAGTCCGTTACGCAGCCTCGCCAACGATAACTAACAGCGATGTGGTCCATTTGCCTCCAACCTTGACCAGGCGCCAGAGGTCGCTAGGAACGTCGGAAATTGGTGCTCGTAGGGAACAAGCCGTGGTCGTCGTACAGTTGAACAAGTCGATCGCCGTTGTCCGTCATGCGAGTACCGTGGCTGTGTTGACCCCCAAGTTTACGCTCATGAACCTCTAGTCTACTGACCTTCACATTTAGGTCGCCGGTGAGTATCACGATGTCCGTGTGGCGTTTCTTACGGAGGAGGTCGGTGAGTTGGCGGTAGAATTCGTCTTTAGCTTCGTCCGGGCTGCAGTCAGTTGAACCGTACGCCGCCACAATGAATAAGCAGCGCCTACTGGACCCGTGGCTGGAAGATCGCATTGAGCTTTCCAAACGGACTGCACAAAGACGACTGTTGACCGGGAACCAGTCAATGAGCGCTGCCTCAGCACGCGCGCTTAACGCAACTCCCACGCCGGCGCAGCCAGAGGTTGCAACTGTCGCATTTCCTGATAACTGCAAGGCGAATGTGCACTTGGAACTTGGGGATGGTGAGAGCAATCGCAGTGTTGCGCTAGAGTCTTGTAAACGGGTTTCGGTTAAGCAGCAAACGTCCATTGAGAGAGTTTCCAAGGTGTGCGAAAGAGCAGCTTTTTAACCAACCTGCATTTGCGTACGAACATTGAATGTAGGTAGCTGGAAGAGCGAGCGAGGTGCCATAAAAGCCTCCATGTTGGTATCGCAATGTGTGCGATCGGTTTTGAGCGATTCATTTATGAGGCCAATGTGCCGTTTTTATTTACAATGCACTTTGGGAGACTCGAAACGGGAAGGGGTTG